TAAAAACTGTCAGTGTTGTCTACTGGAAAGTGTATGAAGTTTGGAGTAAGACAAAACTGATGCAGCCTTTTTCTGCTTGACCTTTCCTAACTCTGTAAGTTCATGTGTGTTTCAGCCATTCTGAGCCTTTTGTCTGCCCACTAGGAGTAATAATGTCTCCTTCACAGAGTTTCTTGGCACATAGTAAGTATACAGCAAATGTTACCGATTCCCATTAATATGTGAACTCTAAACTATGAATCAGAAAAACCCTTTATTACTTGGTAAAGTTTCTTACACAGCATTTTCATTACTCTTTGCATCCTTCAAATACCTTTACTATAAAGACCAACCATTTGTTCTGAATATATGAAGAGTTAAATTTTCATCACACATTTATTAAATAAATGTTTTTAAGTCTCCAGAATAAAAAAAAAAGTGAAGCCTGAAAGGGTCTTATGGGTTTGAATTGAAATACCTCTATTGCAACAGCTGAAACAGGCGTGGCAGCAGCACTTGGACATTTTATTTCTACAAACTTACTGGCCGAAAAGCTTGCCAGACCAGGGAACATTCTGACCTTCCTTCATGGGACAGTGACTTTTTGCCTTTGTAAGCAGAATTTCGTCTTTATGTTTGGAATCTATTCTATATTAAAGATGGTTGGTATGGTTTGAATGTGCCCCCCAAAGTTCATGTGTTGGAAACTTAATTCCCAGTGCAACAGTGTTGAGAGGCAGGGCCTATAAGAGGTGATTAGGTCACGAGGGCTGCACCCTTGTAAATGGATTAATGCCATTATGTCAGGAGTGGGTTCCTGATAAAAGGATGAGTTCATTTTCTTGCTCTCTCTCACACACCTGCTCTCTTGCCCTTCCATTTCCACCATGGGATGAAATATTGGTGGAGGCCAAGTGGGCCGCTCCAGATGCAGGCCCCCTGATCTTGGACTTCCCAGTCTCCAGAACTGTAAGGGAGAAATCTCTATTCTTTATAAATTACCCAGTCTCAGGTATTCTGTTACAGCAGCACAAAACATACTAAGATAATGGCCCTCTCATCAGGCAACCAGCCTGTAGGTTTTCAGTGCTTACCATGTTTCCCTGGTACACTGTGCTAGGTGCCAAAGATACAGAAGGCCTCACTTTTTTAGAACTCACATTCCCTAGGAGGCAGATGGGGGGGTTGGAATGGGCAGGGAAGATTTGGTGATAGTTTTCAAGAGCAAAGGACAGTGTTCCACTTAAAATAGATTGGGGACCAGCTGGGCACAGGGGCACATACCTGTAATCTTAGCACTTTGAGAGGCTGAGGTGGGCAGATCACTTGAGGTCAGGAGTTCAAAACTAGCCTGGCCAACATGGCAAAACCCTGTCTCTATTAAAAATACCCAAAATAGCTGGGTGTGGTGGTGCATGTCTGTAATCCCTGTTACCCAGGAGGCTGAGGCATGAGAATCACTTGAACTCAGGAGATGGAGGTTTTAGTGAGCCAAGATCGTGCCACTGTACTTCAACATGGGTGACAGAAGAGACTTTGTCTCAAAAAAAAAAAAATAGATTGGGGACCAACACAGAGTTAGTGAAATAGGGAGAGAGATGACTGTGGGAAGGGTTTGGGTCTTCCTGTTTCAGGAACCTATTACTGTTTAACCAGCTACCCCAAACTTAGTGGGTTAAAACATGTTACTTAATGCACAGTTCTGTGGGTCAGGAGTTTGGACAGTTCTGCCCCATGTGGTATTGGCTGAGATTACCTGGTGGTCATCAGCTGGTCTGGAGTGTCTATGATGTCTTCACTCATGTCTGCTGCCTTAGCAGGGTGGATGGAAGGGTGGGCGCTGCTGGGACTGCTGACCAGAGTGCCTGCATGTGGCCTTCCCAGCATGGCGGTCCCAGGGTAGTTGGCTTTTCACACTGGCCTTTGGAAGTCTCAGAACATCACTTCCTCTGCATCTCGTTGGTAAGAAAGTCAGTAGAGCCAGCCCAGATTTAGGGAGAAGGGAATTAGAGTCCACCTCTTAGTGAGAGAAGAAGCCCTTTTAACCTGTCACACTGGGTTCCTTGATAGAAGAGCTGCTGGGAGACTTTAAGGAGGGGAGGCTGGATGGTGTGCTGGGCGTATGATGAATGATTAAATGTACTTTTGGATCTGGGGGAAAAGATTGAAATAGTAGACGGAAAAGCCAGCAAATATTGGAAGCAGAATAATGATGTGGGCACTTTTCGAGATTCTTGGCTTTCTGAGGAGAAAATGGAAATCGGAGTGGAGGCTCATAGTGAAGCTTAGGGTTGGAGGCATTTGCTTGTTTTTGCTTTGTTTTGAAGATGGGTGAGGCCACCAGTGACTCATTCTTTTCCAAATCATGGTTGTGCATTTTCTTTCTCTTAACTGACCTCTTACCTGCTTAAACGCTATTGAAATTCTTTGGTCTTTGGTGATATAACTTTCTCCTGTTCCTGGTTCTTTTGCTTGTGACAAAGAAGGGGCTGTTTCCTTAAATAGTTTATTTCCCAGACTCTGTCCATGCCTTCCTTGCCTCCTTATTCTGCAGCTTGTTCTTGAGTAGCCTCATTTATTCTCATGACTTTAACTACCGCTGCATGGTGAAGTCCCCAGGGTTATAAAGTCTCTGGAGCTCCACACCTAACTTCAGTTGCCTCCTCCATGCCTGACCTGGATGTCTCTGTAATTCCTATTCCTATTTGTAACAATGCCATCACTCTGGTCAAGCCAGAAGGCTATATGATGTTCCCTTGATCTATCCCTAATGCTGTGCATTCAAACAGGTTACTAGTTACTGTGAATTTTGTCTTTAAAGCTAGGGTTTTTACCTGTGGCTGCATCACTTGGGGAGCTTTATGTAAGTATCACTTGGGGATCTTAGCAAAAATGCAGACCTGGAGCCTCATCCCAGGCTTATTGAACCAGAATCTCTTGGGTTGTAGGTGTTCATATTTTTGTAGGATTTCCCATGTGATTCTGATGTTCACTTCGTATTGAAAACAACTCTAAATTTGTCTCTAATCCTTCAGTTCATCTCCACCATCCTTGCTTTGGTTTAGGCTTTTATAGTTTCCTGTGGGTGGCATCACAGATTACCACAAACTTGGTAACGACAACAGATGTTTATTCTCGTGCAGTTCTAGAGGGCACAAGTCTGAAATCAAGGTGTCTGCAGGGCCCTGCTGCCCCTGAAGGCTCTTAAGGGGAGAATCTTTCCTTGGCACTTCCAGCTTCTGGGGCTCCAAATGTTCCTTGGCTTGTGGTTGCATCACCCCAGTCTCTGCTTCCGTCTTCATATGGTTGTCTCCTCTCTATCCCTGTGTATTTCTTACAAAATCACTTGCCGTTCGATTTAGGACCTGTCAGTAATCCAGGATTATGGCATCCCGAGATCCTGGATTTAACCACATCTGCAAACACCCGTTTTCCAAAAGGTCACATTCACAGGTTCCAGGACACGGACGTACCTTTGTTGTTGTTGTTGTTGTTGTTTTAGACAGTCTCGCTCAATCACCCAGGTGGAGCGCAATGGTGCGATCTTGGGTCACTGCAACCTCTGCCCCCAGGTTCAAGCCATTCTTCTGCCCCTGCCTCCCTGGTAGCTAGGACACGCCACCATGCCCAGCTAATTTTTTGTATTTTTAGTAGAGACAGGGTTTCACCATGTTGGCCAGGCTGATCTTGAACTCCTGACCTGAAGTGATCCACCTATCTTGGCCTCCCAAAGTGCCAGATTACAGGCATGAGCCACTGACCCTGGCCTTGGACATGTCTTTTTAAGGTTGCCATCCAACCCACTGCATATAGCTCTCCATGACTATGGTGGTTCTGCTGTCTGATCATCTTGCCTCTAATCTGGTCTGCTCTTGCCTCTAATCCCTTCCATTTCCTCCTGCACTGTGCCACTGCACGTGATTACTTTATATTTCCAATCATGTTAGCCATTTGCGTAAATCTTACCAGACTTTCCATTCGCCTTAGGGTAAAAAGCCATAGCACTTAGGGAGTATCAGTGATAGGGTTTAGCTCCGTGTCCCCACCCAAATCTCAAATTATAATTCCCATGTATCAGAGGAGGAGAGGTCTGGTAGGAGGTGATTGGATGGGGGTGTGCGGATTTCCTCCTTGCTGTTCTCATGATAATGAATGAGTTCTTACAAGATCTGATGGTTTAAAAGTGTGTGACACTTTTCCCTTCTTGACCTCTCTCCTGCTGCCATGAGAAGAAGGTGCTTTTTTCCCCTTTGCCTTCTGCCATGATTGCAAGTTTCCTGAGGTCTCCCAGTTGTGCTTCCTGTTAAGCCTGTGGCACGGTGAGTCAATTAAACCTCTTTTCTTCACAGGTAGTTCTTTATAACAGTGTGAGAATGGACTGATACAATCAGGCCGTTAAAATCGGGCTCCTGCCTACCTTTTACCCTTCTTTCCCACTGCTGTCTCCATTTGAACTTCATTCTCTCCACAGTGCTGAACTGCCTGTAGTCCTCCTTGCCTTGCACATTGTATCAGCCCTTCACTTTCCATTTAAACTTCCTAGATTTCTTTCTCTCTTTCTTTTTCTTTTTTGTCAGTCTTGCTCTCTCACCCAGGCCGGAGTGCAGTGGTGTATGATCTTGGCTAACTGCAGTCTCCACTTGCCTGGCTCAAGTGATCTTCCCACCTCAGCTGCCCGAGTAGCCATGACTACAGATGTATGGCATCATGCCAGACTAATTTTTGTATTTTCTGTGGGGGGTGGTTTCAACATGTTGCCCAGGCTGATTTTGAACTCCTGGGCTCAAGCGATGCACTCACCTTGGCCTTCTAAAGTGCTGGGATTACAGGTGTGAGCCGTTGTGACTGCCAAGATTTCCACAGTTCAAACAGTGCTTCCACCGTGAAGCCTTCTCTAATGTGTCCTCTCATGCACTCAGTGCTATAAGTGCGTCTTGTTACATGTATATTTATCGTATTTGTTACTGTGCCTTTCTCTCCTTCTGAGAAGAGAACCCTGTGAAGGCAGGGAAGCTGATATTCATCATTGTAGCTCTAATACTTTGCATTATAAATATTGAATGAATGACCATGTAGCTTAACCTAATTAGAAACTTGTCTCATGGTGACACTAGTTTTTCCACTGCTACTTTAATTATTTCCAATAGGATTTTTCATCTAGATGTATTAAGTAGGCAGTCTGTAAGTAGACTGGCTTATTATTTGCTTAACCTGCAATATCTGTGCCTCTATGCTTAGGCAATTTAAATTAAAATGTTTCTGCATGTGTTAAGGTTGACACTTCTGTTTTCTTTTCCTCCCTTCGTTTTACATACAGCTTCTGGGTTGTTAGTAGCAGAAATCAAATTAAGTTAGCCAAAGCGAAAGGAATTTTGTCAGGAAGAGCTGGAGTACATCTGGGCCAATAGAAACCTTTAAGGATCCTCTTTCCATTGCTTTTTGTTGCTTGTCTCTGTTCATCTGCTTTTTTTTTCACTTTGACTGCTTTTTCAGCCCTATAACACTGTGACATCCCCACAGCAGTTACAGCTCTGGCCAGCAACTGAGAGACAGACTGTCTCTCTGTTCCAATTTTTTATTTTCCAAAATTAGAATGTCATTGGAAAGGTTGGGCCAGATGTCAGCCTCTGGCCAATCAGCCCCAGAGTGGTGGGGAAGATGTTGGCATGGCCATTTCATTCAGACATGGTGCTGGGGTTGGCCTTTCGAGTTAAGGAATAGACCCGAGAGAAGGGAGTATAGCTGTGATCAGATAGCCAAACGAGCATCTGCTGTCCTCTTATGAGACTAAGACCTGTTGATCTGGAGCCTATAGTTAAGAAAGATGCAGTGCATAGTTGTGCCAGACCCCTATCAACTCCAGTGGGGATGCCAGCAGATTCAAGAGGCTGAAGAAGAGACCTAGAGCTAGCAGATGAGACATGGGGTTTTGTTGGTGGCTTATATACAGGGGAGAGAGTCCAGTGGCGGTGGGTTGAGCAGGAGAACCACAACTGCATACAAAAGGCATGCAGTTGACATAGCATTTTCACTTATCGCCCTCCCCCTAACAACTGCCACTTGCCAGCCTTCACTTAATCCAAAACAAAGGGCCTTGATATCCTGTAGAGCCTGCATTCCACGGGACTGGATGGGTGCTCAAGTGTTCCTCATAGATAAGGAATAACTCTCTGGGTTGGCCACTCTCAGATACCTTAGCTTGGAACTCTGAACACACATTCAGGTAAATCTACCATACAGGTTCATTCTCAGTCACATTATTGCTGTCAGGTGTGCCTGCCATACACACAGAGCTGGGTAGAAGTGAAGGGCGTAGCAAGCCTTGCCAGATCTTATACTAATTATGTGTAGGCCACAGTAGTGGAAATGTTCCTCTAAGTTGTTTACAGTCCTGACTTTAATTGGTTCACAGATGCTTCCTTTAATATAGAATGTTCATCTTGATTTAAGTGACATGGAAATTTATTAAAACGGTGGGTTTGTAATGGTTGTTGTCTCATGGATACTTTATAGTAGTCATCACAAATACGTTTAAGAAAATTATGTACACGATTCTGATCTTGCCTGAGAAAAATGAGAGGAATAAGACTTGAAATAAATTATCTTTTTATTCTAGAGACACTTTCATACAGTTGACATTCCTTTGTGCAGGAAATGGAAACATTAAAATGACAGTGAGAATAACTTACAGTGATAATTGTCAGATTGTAGCTATGAGTTGACTGGTGAAACAAACACACAAAGCCCCTTCGTTCCAACTTCTGTTCCCCAGTGGGCTTTATGTCCCTGCTTCCTCCATCCAGCCACTCCCTTCTGGATGTAGTTGGAAAAGTGGAGAAGGCCCAGGAGTCTGCAGGATGGGAACAAACCACCAGACCTGCTGTCTCCTAACCTTGGTGTTTTGGGGGAGCCTTGCAGCTATCTTACAAATCTGTGTAAATTTTAAATGTTCCTCCTTTTAGTTTCTTGAAAAGAGCTTCTGCCAAGGTGGAAGCAGAGAATAGCTGTGTTAATGTAGCAACGTGGGCCATCATTGAGAACATACAGGTGCTGATTAATCCAGAGTTAGAAAATACAATTGAAAATTGAAATTCTGTGATCCTCAATTTCTTTTAAGCATTGATACTAGCTAAATGCAGGAAATCTGCTTAAGGATATTATATGTTTTCTATATGACTTTGAAGTTATTTGACAATTTGTGGACTAAAACTCATGAATATGTTTTACAAACTAATTTTTGCGAACAAAAAATACATTTAATTTCTGCAAGCTGTTTTTTGCTAATCTGACAGTGTAGGGTTCAAGCAGAAATGGGAATGAATGTGGAGGATTCAGAACTTTTAAGAAAACAAGTAACTAAATTGGTTGTCTTATAAATAAAGATCCTGCAGATAACATTAACTTGGTTTGAAAATGAGAGATGCGGTTTAATTAGTATGCTATTTTCTAACTAGTTCGTTTAAAAATATTTCTCAAGCGTATCTCTGGGGTCTATTAGAATGGTGCTAGTTGAATTGAGCCAGCCCTAATATGGCCTCTGCAGAATACTCATTTGCTTATTTATACTCTGCCTCTTTCCAAAAAGATTTGAAGAGTCTGACTTTATAAAATAGGAAACCTATAAGTACTTGTACATCACTCTTAAATTCCTGGAGGTGATGTGAATTTCATTACAACCAGAGTCTGTGTTGCAGCCCTTTCCCTTTGTGGAGTGTTTAGTGGGCAATTCCTTTATGACCATTCCTGTCTTTCCCTTAGTCCCTCTAACTTTTATGTTTAAAATTTGAAAAATCTGCAGATAGATGAACTCTTTCTTCTGTTTCTAGGTACAATGGTGCTTTACCCAATGGCGATAGAGGACGGAGGAAAAGTAGATTTGCCCTCTACAAGCGGCCCAAGGCGAATGGCGTCAAACCCAGCACGGTCCATGTGATTTCCACGCCCCAGGCGTCCAAGGTAGGTGGGTCTGGCAGGGTTGGGAGGGTGCTGATGAACAGTGACTCACAGATAATCCTTGCCTGCCGCTCCTTTTCCTTTAGTCTTGTTTTCACATTGGACAGTCTCTCAGACCATTTGAGCCTTGTTGTGAGGGGCCATGCTGTGCATTATAGGGTTTTTAGAGCTTCCCTGGCCTTTACCTGCTAAATGCCAGTAGCACCCCCCCCATTCTTGTTCCCCACAGTTGTTAACCACCAAAAATGTCATTGCAGCCTGTCTCCTGGGGAGGGCTGGGCAGGTAAAGTCTCCCCTGTTAGGAAGCACTGCCTTAGGATACAAAGCAGCTAGCATATATTAATGTGGAATAGATGTAGTTGAAACATGATGTTCTTTATCCTAAAGAGTTTTTGTTTTAAATCTCGGTATAAACCTCATGATTTATTTTCCTTCTGTTAATTGAGTATGGTAGGTGGTTTTACATAATCTATATGTACATGGAATTAAATTTGTGTGGCTCTTAGAAAGATGAAAAGTATGCAGGGCCAAGTGATAAAAGAAGCCAACTATACATATTTTTTTCTCGTAATTTTGAAGTGAATAAAATGCTAATTAAAAAAAACTGGTTATTTTGTTTTCTGATCTATAAGTTGAGGAAAAAATCTGAGTTTTAATTCTAGTTAGTATAGGTTACATAGTAGATTTATTACAGTGTTTCTTTAAATAAGTGCTTTAATATAGAATAATATAGTCTTATTTTATATAAAATTATATTTACATGAAGTCTTTCATATGGGGCTATTGGCTGTACCTGTTTATCATGAGATTGGACCATCTGGAGTATAAAGGAGAGTGTTGATTTCCATTTTAACTAAAAACCTACTTTTGGAAGAAAAAGGAATGGTTTCATGGAAGCACATGGGATATTTACATGCGACGTAAACATAGATCACCTTTGTTAATGTTTTTATTTTAAAAAGCTCCTATTTCTGAAGCAGTGCCATGGAAAGAATTTGTTAGGAGGTGCTGCTTAAAATGATCTTGTATTAATGAGGGGATGAGTAGTTAAGAAAATATCAAACACCAAGGAGATAAGAAAGGTTAATTTTCGTAGATACGAGAAAGTTAGAAAAAGAGAAATAAACTAAACATTTTTAGGCAGGAAGGAAATTTTATAAACAAAAACAATCCAGCTTTACAAAGATTCTGAGGACAGGTGGAGGTAAAATAGCAACAGAATCTTAAGAGGTCAAAAAAATAGGAGAAACATTTTATACTCCAAAAATGTTTGGTGAAGAACGATACCGAAACACATGTTTTTAAGCATGTGATAAGTGCCAGAAATGTTCTGGTATTATAGATGTGGTCCTTATAAGTTTGTCTGTTTGTTGATATTTCTTTTTTTTTTTTCCCTTCTCTTTTAAAAAAAATCTTAGGTTCATTTTAATACAATAGCTGACATTTTAAAAAATTTACAGAAATCTTGCTTTGATTACTCAGGCTTCGTGCTGTGATAGAATATGAACATTTGAAACTATTGAGAGAAAAGTGTCTCTTCCTCAGTCTTTACCCACTGCTATCTCCTCCCATGTTAGCCTTTTATGTTTTACCTTTATTCCTAGATTTTACTTCAAGTTACTTAGATTTTTATCTTTTAATAATTGTCATCTAAATCTTTGTTTAAAAATATCCGCAGTACTAAGAGTAGGGCAGATTGGGTTTTGTTCTTGACCCTCTATATTTTAAAATCTGGGAAAAATATATTCTCAGGGCCTAAGTTTATTCATTAGAAACTGAGTAAATTGGCTTCAGGCAGGAGCTCTGTTGAATTAGACAAGATACTTTGATTATAACCATATAAATTATTCTGGCTAAGATAAAACAGACAAAAGTAAGAGAAATTATTATAGGCTAGCTGTCAGAATCCAGGAAAAGTTGAGTAACCAGGTTTTGAGAGAGAGGAGAGCTGGAGTATCAACGAGAGTGAACATGGGTATTTTTTCAGGAGTGTTAGATAGTGAGTGTACCCCAGCCACCTTCTGTCTCTTTTAAAGCTTTTACATTTTCAAGAGAGAGAAGCTGATAGGCCTACACCGGGTCACTGAACTATGTCCAAGGAGTTGGGCAAACTAAGACCAGACATGTTTATTGTGAGCAGATCAACCAGCCCATGTTGCCTCTCAAACTCACCCTGGCCAGCTGTGCCCAGCCACTCCTGCTGCTAGGTTTGCTCTGTTGCCACCTTCTACCTTGAAGCCCCAGCTAGCTGTGAACTCAGCCCTTTACCTATTTAACCTTTTCTTCAGATACCCCTCCCACTTCCTGGCTTTAACTGAATCAGACTTTCAACCAGTGCACTCTTTAATTATTTTTTCCATGTCTTCCAGTTTGTGGAACGTATTTCAGTGACTCAGAGCCGACCCCAGAGCCTTTCCCTGACCCCTGTAGCACCCATGGTTCATAGTACTTTAACTCTTTCAGTTTCTTTTCCACTTTTCCCACTAATACAGTGCCCTTTACAGCCTGTTGTCACTTGGCAATGAGAATTATGTCTAGTTCATTCTGTTTCTCGGCATACTTCCTTTTCTCTTGTCATCAAGACATCCAGCCCATTAGCCTCTGTTTGCCCAGTGTTTGGCCCGTGTGGCCTCTCCAGGTATCAGGTATGTCTTAATTTCCACTCAAGATTCTCTTTCTCTGGGCTCTTTTGTATCTCTCTTCCCGTGTCTGTGTCTCTGGTCCCTTCCTGACCCTGCCACACTTTTTTTTTTTTTTGTCTTTATTGCTCACTCCATGCCCCTTAAGAATGCCAGTAAATGTCGTGGTACCTTGCAAAAACTGGGCTGAATTGACGGTGGTGTGTGTACCCTGATGTTTTTGATGCTGCAGCATTGGTAATGAAAGGTTCATCTTTGATTGGAGTTGTGAAAGTGGGACCTAGAAGGGTAAGTGTGGTTATCCATCGCTAGGATTTGAGCTGTTTGCCTTTTGGCTGTGTTGTTTCTTCCCTCCACCCCAATCATTCCCTCTGCCCACCTTCTGGGGCAGAACAGAGATATCCCTTTGCTGGTGGTCATGGCAGCGGGGAAACAGGACCTCTTAGTTTTCCAGGCATGTCTATATCCAGGCTAAGTCAGATGAGGATGGCAAGTATGTGCTACTGTTGTGTAATCTCTATTTGTATAATCTTTATTCATGTACATATTTGCTCTTAGAATAATACTCAGAGGTATTTCTCTGATTATGTAATGTGCTTTTTTTAAAAAAAATCAAAAGTCCTATTTTACTTTTGGCCATTCTATTGCATGGGCATAGGGCCTTTAGCAATTTATTCACCCATCCATTTATTCAACAAATATTTATTCAGCACCTTCCATGGTCAGGCATCATGCCAGGTATTGAATATTCTGCCTTGAACAAACACATCCGCATGGAGCTAAACATCTAGTGAGTGGGCAAATGAGAAAGAATCAGAGGCTACACATGCAACTGCACATTGTGGAAAGGTCTAAGAGGAAGGGCACAGAATTTAGACTGGGTTTAGGGAAGGACCTTGTAAAAAAGCAGTGTGAGAGCTGCGAGCTGGAGAGGAGAGAGGAGTTGATCAAAAGAGCAGAGATCCAGGGGGCTTGTGGGCCTACCTAGAAAATTTGGGTTTTTATATCAGGGGAAATACTGAAGGATGTAAAGCAGAGGGAATGGCACATGACTGAGAATTCAAGTCAATGTATGTGTTCATTTACTTTTTTTATGATATGGGACAACTGTTTTGCTCTTACTTAACCAGCAAATAGTATGATGGTGGTGGTGGTGATGGTGGAGATGCTGGTGCCTGATAGGAAATATTTTCTAGCTTCATGTTTTAAATTTAGCAACATTACTACGGAAAAGTCTTCATCATGGTTTTCCCTTCTTAGATTATGCTTTATTGAAATGTCCTTTTTTGGGTATTTTTACTTTTAAAAGTAACTGAAAATCACTTTACTCTAGCTGGCCCGTTTCCCAAATGGAAAATATTAGTGGTCTTTGATAGTTTAGAGAAACATTAGGGCCATTTAATGTCATTGCTGCAACCAGGGTTGCTTGCTCTTTACCCCGTTTGGGTTGCTATGGCTCTACTGATTGATAAATTATTGAAACACTTTCTTATCAGTTGATGAATAATAAAACAGTAAGCATGAGAAGTGGTAAAAGTAACAATCTAATTTTTAAGGTACACTCATTCGCCCCAGCTGGTTGTGTAGCGTGTTGTGGGATCCACTTGGGAAGTGCTTACTGTCTGTCTGCCGAGCCTGTCTCCCCTGGCAGTGAGTGGCGTTGATCTCCGGCACGTTCATGATGGAGATGGGGCCTCGGTGCTTCGGGAGAGCCATCGGCTTATCATCAGCCTTAGACTTTCTTGTTGCTCCTGCTTTTAAATAGACCTCTCTTTGGTTTATTTCATTGTTACTGCATTATAACTCTTGAATTAGTTATGTGTGGTGTTTGATACTTGTAAGTTCAAAAATTAATTTGTTGAGTATTGTATTTTAAATAAAGAGGCAAGAGAATTTTGGGTAAGTTTTCTCTTTTGATGTCATAAAGATGAATATTTTGAATCTCTGAGAGAAGAAAAAATAACAGTGATAAAATGCAGCTAAGACTATCTTTAATACTATGCAGGAATAAAAACCTGAAACAAACGATTTGTAGGTCTAGAATCAAAAACAGTTTATTTCAACAAAAAATGTAAACATAAATCAGTCTCCAAAAAATTGAAATAACGACATCCAAAAACATTTTATCTGAGAGTTTTGACAAGGCAAAGGAAAAAAAAAATTTATGAAGTATCAGTATAATATACTGTATAGTTTAAAATAATTTTCTGACATACAGTATTTATTAGGACTTCAAAAATTGTTTTTATGTGAATGTAGCATGGAAGTTTAGGTTTATGGTCCTGATTGTTGCAAAACATATATCTACTGAGATGCAAAAACACATTTTGGAGAACTTGTAAATCAGGGCAGTAAAATTTCAGT